TGGCCCTTGTGGTCTCTTCCAACTCTATGATTCTATGATTCTCTGTCACAGAGCTCAGGTGCCATAATATACAGTTCCCATGATTCCCTAGCACTGAGTCAGGGCAGTTAAAGTGGACTCAATTTACACTATTTCTGGCAGTCTGCAAAGGCCCTTTGTTTTAGCCATAATAAATCCAATGATGTAATAATCTGTGATTATGGTTTTTAATAATCACAGTAGAATTATTTAGTTGGATCTGTCATGGTAGAATAATATTATCCCCCCCCCCCCTTTAACCTTTTTTTTCATTATTGTCAGGATTGGGAGGGTCAGAGCATTATTGTGTATTAGTTATCTGTCTTTTTATTATTTTGTGGACATGGAAGAGCCTTTAATAGAATGTAGCCTTGGAGATATACCATATATACTCAACTATAAGTCAATCTAATGTATAAGTCAAGGGCAGGTTTTGGACTCAAAATTATGGATTTTGATATGACCTGTGGATATGTTGAAGTCAGAACTAGGAGCATGTAACAAAGGATCTAAAGGATGAAACAAAGGAATACAATGCCAAAGAACTTGCAAAATTCCAGCAGGCATGACGGTTTGTGTTCATACTAAAGGCTGCATGGATGAGACCATAGAGGAGGGTTAGTGTTTTCAGGACATACTATGTTCTTGACTTGCAGCAGGGGAGGCTTCCTTTTAAATAAGAATTAAAGTACAGTACTTCCAATGACCTGTGGATAAGTCAACACTGTATTTTGGGGTCATTTTTAGGACTAAAATTTCTAGATTTAAACATGAGTATATACAGTAAGTTGTAAGGATAACAGAGGAGATGTAGAAAACAGATAAAGTCACAGGATGTTAGGAAAGAGATGATTTTATCTTTTAAAATAGCCCAATGCATTTCAGCCTGGAAATATTTTTACATCCTTTTCCAGCTTTAAAACCAGAATTCAGGGATTCTAAATGAAGTGTCACTGAAGCTTTTCCCAGTCCACATTTCAGGATCTCAGCCAATATTTAAAGTATTATTTATTATAATATTTTTATTATATGATCACCATAATATAATTCTAATTTAAGAACAAAAACAACATTACCACTGTTACCCAAAATGCAAGGATCCCAAGAGGGCACTCACAATTAAATGTGGAAATATATTAGCTCAAATGGCAGCAGCCGAGAGGGCTCAGGCAACTACAGCAGGGATCAAGCCTGTGTATAACAGTTCTGAGAAACAGAACTCCAGAGTGCAATTTCAAATGTAATTTTATTTATAATCAAAGGAAATCAACCATTTACGCAAGACATTCACTCATGCAGACATCCAAGAACTAACGATATAAAAGGTGGTAGCAGATAGCGAGTTAAAGGGTTGCAGAGGGTAATATTGTACCGATTCCAGATGTGTAGCTCCGATCGAGGGGATACTTTGAGGCAGAAAATGGCTCAGCAGCTGCCTTACAATCATGATGTGACTAGTTTATGCTGAGGAGTTAGGTGAGGTATGGCAGAGTGCCTGTCTGACCTCAGACAAGATCAAATTGGAGGTACCTGGATAGGCATATTTATATGGCAAAACATATCCTGGGACATGAGGCAAGAATGAGCAAGGAAGTTGAGAACGGCTGGACAATCAGTGCAAATGTCCGTAGGCAAAGGAGTTTCACTCCTGGAGGAGAGTGTACTTTAGTTTCTGTTCATGTGCAAACACAAGTGGTATCACCCATCATCACTCCTATCTATGCAGGGATTATGCAGATTCCAATCTTGATCAAGCTGTCCTGTCTACATGCTCTTGAGCTCCCCAATGCTTACCCTACTGGATCTCTTTACCTAGCAAGGCAATTTCTCACATTGGGGGGCTCCTGTGGCTATGTACTCTAAACATCCCATTTTTATATCAACTTGATTTTGGCACAGAGGAGGGATGCAGAGGGCTAGACCTTAGGATAACACTACTATCACCATATATACAGTACGTATATCACCATCCTCTGACCTTTGACCATGCTATCCTTCTGGGTGGACACTCTGGATTGGAGAGTGGAGCAACCATTCTTTTCTACACCATAGCACTTATCTTACATGATGGCATTTATACTTCAGGATCCCACACAGATCTGTTCTGTTCCCTCCACCCCCCATGTCATTCAATATGTACACCAGGGTGGGAAAAATGCAGAAGTCCCCAAGGAAATTTTTGTAGCTCCCTATCTCCAATGGTCTTTCCATTTTCTGGCAAGACAAAAAGGAGTGTGTTTATTTTCCTGGAAACCTTCAGGAGTGACAATTCTGCAGCCCCAATTCCACTTCCCCTGTATTTTCCAATCATTTTTCAAAGCTGAAGTTGATTGTTAGTGGTTTCCAGATTTGTTTTGTTTGTTTGTTATTTTGGGGGCATTCTTGCAGTCTCTGAAGGATTCTAAGGGCAGTTAATTGGCTCCCAAACTTGCCAGAGCTGTCCAACTCTATCTAAACCACTTCATTTGATATGGGCTTCAGTTGATAACACGATGACACCCATCATTAGCTGTGATAACTAGTAAGTAACTAGTCCATGAATTGAGTGCAATAATAGACTGGACAAGGGCCAAAAAATTAAGCTCAATCTAGACAAGACCAAGATGCTGTTAGTGGACAACTTAGAAAGCCATGTCTGAGGGTGAATACACTTTCTCAAGAACAGATAGTGTAGGAATGTTATTAGTCAGATTTATCATTTTGAGTCTCCACTTCCATGGGAAGTCAAGGGCATTGGGTCAGTTTGACACACCAACTCATGGACTCCGCAGGGACAGAGATGATTAGCCAAAGTTTTCTATGTTCTGGTAACTTCTATGGATGCATCTACACTGTAGAAATAATCCAGTTTGACTTGACTTTAACTGCCATGGCTCTGTCCTACAGAATCTTGGGATTTGTAGTTTTGAGAGGCACCAGCACACATTGTCAGAGAAGGCAAAAGATCTTATAAAACTTTCAATCCCAGGATTCTATATGATAGAGCTACAGCATTTAA